CCTTACGGCCCCTGGGCTGTGTACCTGAGATCACTGTAGCGGCCCTCAGAGTCGGTTGACTCGTCTGGGTTGGTTTCGATGTGAGAGCGCCGAGGATCGAAATTCGACACCGATGCCTTATTGAAAAAGGGATTTCTCCATGCTATCTTCTCTTGAGAGGAGAGAATCCGTCCACTCTGATACCAAATATCGTGCTACCGTGATGGACATCGACGTTCTCTGCAATGCAAATGTTGCTTGTGGCTGGCTCAGTAGAAGCTCATAAATCAATGTATGAATGTCAATGTTTTCTTGTCTCTCTCACTATTAGACTCATAGCGTATTATGCACTTCCAAAATGGATTCATGCGAAAAGGAAACACCTTACATAAGAAGGGTTTCTCTAACCTTCAATCCGGAATAAGAAATTGAAGATGTTCCAAAGTAGCTCATTCTCTACGGCAGCGATATTATCAAGAGATTCTACCGATATCGAAGGCAGGCAAGCATAAAGTGTCTCGCAAGAAAATCGTCCCTTCTTGGGGACTTCGAAGTCTGGTTGGCACGTCCCGTCCCAAGACATCCCCAACCAAGAAACAATTTTTCTGGTTTTCCCTTAAGTCATATGAAAGTCCAAGTGCAGCTCAACATCGGCCGCGACCTGGCGAATATTACGGATGGGGTCATAACAAGTAGTCACTGTTCGTATTCAAAAGGAGACTGGTCAACAGGCTTTCGCACATTACCAACTAACCTGGAACGATAGCGAGAGGTGATAAATAGTGTCCAGCAATGGGACGCAGCCCTCTCAAAACCAAAGCCGTAGACTTTGTTAAGCCTTCCGTCTACAGGAAACCTAATTTCTTCTATCGGATTTCAACAGTTAGAAAATGTGGAAGTAATGTCTTAGGTGAGGACGTGTCCGACTATTCAGCGATCCCCCAATTGTTAGCATCCAGTCAAATGTGGGGTAGGGCTAAAAACAAGAATGGTCTGAAAAACACAAAACTGCCCTTCAATAGTCAGACGAAGTCGAAAAGATGGGTTTTCTATCACAACAAATAATCCGATGCAGCCTACCTCCTTACTGCCGCCTTCCTAAACCCAGAAAAAAAGCTGTTAGGAAGCGACCAAGTCATGATGTGAATCTAATTGAGTTCTGCACCCTGCGCTAGATTAGAAACAAAAACTTCGTTTCTAACCTAGCGCAGCCAATAGGCAAAAATACAACAAAAATGTTTCTAAACTTTTGATCACTACTGTATTAGATCATCAATCCTTACTATATATAATTCGCTAAGTATGTCTTTGTGTGTGCTGTGTGTGCGCACGTTTGTCACGAAATTCATAGCTCGCTTCACAGCAATGATAGCGCCATGGTTCTTACATATGTTATAGGGGGTGGGATGGGGACTCAAGTGGTATGTGATAGGAACTGATAACGACTGATAATAGCTGATAAGAGGGGCTAGAAAGCGAGCATCGCCAATTTCGTTTTGTCGTTCATATTGGTACTAGAGCGTCTATACTTACAAGTGTTATGTGGGTGGTCCCGGGACATTGGTGGTACATGAATGAAAGCGATAGCAACTGATAAGGGCTGATAAGATGTCAGAACACGGAAGAACTCACAGAACTCGATTCCGTTACCCAGCTTGCGCTGACACTAGAGCGTCCCTACTTACAAGTGTTATAAGGGGGGGACGGGGACATTGTTGATGGGTGATTGAAAGTGGATTGCAACTGATAAGGGCTGATAAGGGGCGTCAGAACGCAAAAGTCGTCGATTCCGTTACCCAGCTTGCGCTTGACACTAGAGCGTCCCTACTTACAAGTGTTATAAGGGGTGGGACGGGGACATTGTTGATGGGTGATTGGAAAGGTGATTACAACTGATAAGGGCTGATAAGGGGCGTCAGAACGCAAAAGTCGTCGATTCCGTTACCCAGCTTGCGCTGACACTAGAGCGTCCCTACTTACAAGTGTTATATGGGGTGGGACGGGGACATTGTTGATGGGTGATAGAAAGTGGTTACAACTGATAAGGGCTGATAAGGGGCGTCAGAACGCAAAAGTCGTCGATTCCGTTACCCAGCTTGCGCTGACACTAGGCGTCCCCACTCACAAATTCTATTTGTAGTGGTACGTGAACATTGTATCATTGTGTGACCAGCTTGCTTAATAGCAGTCGATTGCATAAACTTAATCAGGTCTTCTCGAGATAAGTTTCATTTCTAACAATATCAAGAAAGCTGAAACTCATTGAACCGCTAATCCTTTCAGGGTTCTAAATAATGGTGAATGTAAATAAATGATAGCCTTAGCTCTTCACTTATGTAATAGGCATAGTTTCATTTTCAATTTTGAGACTGACAGCAAGTTTACCACCGCTAAATTCCGAATTCAAGAAGAATGCTGGATGTTTACAGTTGTGAGATAAATGCCAGTTCAGCTCCAGACGTTATCACGCGTATTCTCGATGGACTTCAGCGAAACTGGGAAAGGTCTAACACATTCAATAGTGAGGTGGTTAATGGAGGACCTCATGCTGATATTCCATGGGTCCTCCAGTTTCGCTAAAGCCTGTCGTGTGATGCGCGCGATAGCGGGCGGAGCAAAACTGGTATATCTTTTAGAGAATAAACAGTGTATATAGATACGGTAGAGCAAGAAGGAATTCCATGCAACCCCGCGACTCCGCCTTGTGAATGCCTCAGTCTCTCCTTCAGTTGCGACCGACGTGCGCCCGTTTTCCCCCTTCTTTAGTGTGCGCCATGCGCCTGAGATTTATCTTGAATTTGGAAGGTGTGATTCGGTCCTGAATCTCCCCAGAATCCTCGTTCTCTTATTCTTTTCATTTGATGCCTTTTTCTCTAGGAATTTTTGGTCATTATTTGTCGGAGATTGTTTCTTTTCGTTCGTTGGTCGATTTTATTACTTTAAAGGTATATATTATCGTTTAATTACCCAAGTTTGAGATTGTGCGCCTTGCACCAATAAATCGTGGAGGTTAGGAGTGCGACGAATTGGAATCGGTAGTCTCGATCTGTGAAACTTACTGTAACAACCGCGTGGCACTGAACCATTCGTAAATGCAGGATACCAACCGCACACACAGAGCGCACCACACACGCAAGCATGCATGGATACACCTGTATGGAGAGCTGGTATGAATCGACACAGCACTACAGAAACAGGGAGTCCATCCCCTGAATCCACCTGCGTCTCAGGGCAAGTACATGGTGGCTTTTGGTCCGCGATTTACCCCCTATCCGCCACCTGGGGTCGCGCCACGTAGCCTCGCCACCAACCGGCTCGAGATCTTTCAGTGAGAGAGGACCCTCAGTGAAAGAGATCCGTGGAGGCTCATCGCAATAAGGTCATCATCGACGTCAAGATAGGGGTCCAACAGGGCGACACCATCCCGCCCAAACTCTTCAGCGCCGCTCTCGAGAACGTCATGCGTCAACATCGAGCAAGCGGAGCGAATGCTGGCTGATTTCGACTGCGCCTGTGGTAAGGTTGGTCTACAGCTGAACCTAACGAAGACGATGTTTATGAGAAACGGATTGGTTCCTGATGCCCCATTCACGCTCAACGGAACGAACATCACCGAATGCTCCAGCTACGTGTACCTAGGTCGGGAAATCAATATGATGAACGATCTAGCTCCAGAGCTGAGCAGGAGGAAACGAGCGGCTTGGGGAGCGTACAAGAACATCGAGGGAGTAGTGAAGAAGACGAAGAACATCCGGCTCCGTGCCCACCTCTTCGATTCCGCTGTCCTTCCTGCCCTAACCTACGCCTCAGAGACTTGGACTCTGCGCAGGCAGGACGAGCATGCGGTCAGCGTTATCCAACGCGCTGTCGAGAGGACGATGCTAGGAGTAACCCTACACGCAAGTGCAGAGGGGAATCCGGAGTGCCGAACTACGCCAACGATCGAAGATCAGGGACGCTGCCGTTTTCGCCAAGGAATCGAAGATAAGGTGGGCCGGACACGTCATGCGATTTTGCGATGACCGTTGGACCAGAGCGGTTACCGACTGGATCCCTCGGGACGTCAAACGAACACCTGGACGACCGCCGGCCCGATGGTCAGACTTCTTCACGAAAGCTCTGAACGAAAGGAATGAAGGACTCGTGTCCCTCGAGCGAGGAGGGTCCACTGGACAACTCTTGCACGCGACAGGGACGAATGGAGACGTTGCTGGCGCCCGCTCGAGCAATTCGATGATCAACGGGACGACAGGTGATACAGGTGATACAGGTATGATATTTAGATATTCGCGCTATCAAGAGAGCATGAACAATTACCATGCTTTGGATGTTGAGAAAGTTTAGCGCTTGCAACTTTATATGAATGTGGCATTAAAATACAAACTCATTATCCACAAACACCGACCATCCTAAAAAAAACTCAGGGAGATTAGCGAGTTGATGAATCTCGATGGTGAACACAAGAAATTGCCAGGAAAAATGGAATGCATTTCTTATCGCGGATCTGGATACTTCAGTGTTTCCTCCGAACTCAAGCTTTCTTATCAGCCCTCATCAGTTGATTCCACTTTTTGTCACCCATTAAATCAAACATGACCCTTCGAAAGATCCGTTACCCTTTCCTTCTAAGAGTCCTTATCAGCCCTTATCAGTTGTTATCACTTTTGCTACCTCACCAAATATGTTCCCGTCCCACCCCCTACATCATAACTTGAAATCAACTCTTGACGACTACTGGCGCCCGCGCCATGAATTTTGTGACAGACGGACACACACACATACATACATACAACAGACAATATCACTTAGTATGGGTATATATATGTAGTAGGGAGCTTTCGAAAGCCTGGCTGAAAAAAATGTTGTCACTTGGCTGTCAGACTCAGCAGACGACTTAGTTTAGTTTCTGAAACACGTCGGATATGAATATAGCCTTACTGCACAAATTTCATCAGTATTCCCCGCGTATACAGACTCATTCAAGAAAGGGCTTTTTAGGAAAATGCAAGTTCCATTTTCAGGACAAATGCAGTGGAGAACAAGAGCGAGTCAGGGAATTCGCAAGTAATTTCAAGTATTATGCAAACCAGGCGCGAGTCAAAATCTCCCTTACACATGAGAGTCTAGATACTGACTACTTGTGCTCGTGTTTATTCTGCAATTTAGACAGCCGGAAGTGACACGTGTTGTGAACACGAAGATTCCTTCGGCGATTGCACCCTACCGTAACCAGAGAAGAAAATTTATGCAGGTTAGGTTCTTGAGCGAGAAATGGAGGCTTCCGTAGCTATTTTCTCAAGTTCTCCATTTTTTCGTGAGAAATTTTGAGGATCACGAGAGCACACACATTAAATTTTAAAAAACGATTTATTGTGCAAGCAAGTTACACGATATAAGGAGGCTCGTTAACAGAGTCGACGAAGAATAAACATTGTTATTATATAAACTTTATGCGGGGTGCCATCCCAAAAAAAATATTCTTATTACCATAATGAGCACTGCATTTCATTAATCATTTTCGACTTTTGTGAACAGAAGAATGCTTCAGCAAATGGTGGAAAATTTGACATAGTCGTGACCACCCTGAAATTTATTACTACAATAAATCTCGTTTTGCGACACTACCATCACCTCCCTGTTTTCCTGAGTGTATGACTGTCGTAACGACTGCTTGTCTTCAATTACAACCCTATTACTTCGTGTTAATTTGAAATATATAGAATCGCCGTAATAGAGCAGGATATGGTCACAATTAGAATATCCTCTCAGAATTTGCAACAATCACGTTTTGTCTGTTTCGGTCCTCGAGTTTGCTATCAACTTCCCTATCCTCCACATCAACGGAGCACTTCAGAACGGGCAGAATAGACGCATAAACATCGTAACCAACACATCGACAAGTCGATACGATATCCAAGTCTGTACGTTCTCGAAGAGTGGGCACGGCCGCCACACCTCACCTTTTTCATACTTCAGAAATGCACCTTGGTTTTTCATTAAGCGATCAGTCGCCGAAACATCAGGAACGAAAGTCGAACGTTCCGTGTACGTACGCTATATCGTGCAAATATTTTGAAAGCGCGGCTATCTCTGAACGACCTCCTTTCTTTAGTGTGAACAGCATTTAATGAATGTTTTGAATACGGTAACTGCAGCGCGAAGGCGCATGCGCCTCATCCTCACATCGCTCACTTGATTCGCTCATTCGCTACTTCGTTTCTTTTTTTGCGTCTGTTCTATAATTTATAATCGTCATAATATAACCATACGGATATATCCATACGTAGAGGTGTTCACATTTGTTAATGCGGTAAACGTGCCTTTAGCGATGTCTTCCCAAGCCAAACGAATTTGCCAGGCCGATTTTCTATTTTCCTATATTTGCACCAGTTCAGCTCCACCTCTATGCGCCTCACTTGATAAACTTTGGTCACACTTGTCAGTCTGTAGTCTGTCGGTCATCAGCATGACTAACCGGCTCAATTCACTTTTCTTCAGCAGATTTGTAGTGGGTGAGGAAATTAGACAAGTTAGATGACTTGTAACTATAGCTACTCAACAATGTATCTTGTGTGGAAAGCTCTAGTTTTCGGTTAACTCAAAGGAAGATTTATGCCCGTTAATGCTAAACGTTACAGTAAGGATTTGGAAAAATCGGTCTTTGTCAACACATTCCCTTGAATTATTGCTGACCTCGAAAGAATAACGTTACTAATACGTTTAATAAGTGCTTCCTACACCCACAAACGTTTTTCGTGCTACTGAACTGAATAATTCGCGAACGATTGAGATGATGGAGTGGGAGAATGAAATGGGTACAAGAACAGGGCAAGACAACAAAAGAGAACTGAAACAGAATGTATAAAGGATGGACAAAATTTGCGTTAGAAGATAAATTTTCATAAAGTCGATGTGGCTAAATAATCAACAAACAATCTTAATGGAATGGTAAGTAGAAAGATTGTCAGACAGAAAAACATTATCACCTCATGAAAGTGACACCCCCGGGGGGGGGGGGGGGGGGGGGGGGCACCCCGACCGGCGCGGGTCGCTTTCTGTGTTGATATTATGACGAAACTTCTGAAAGTATCGACCTGCTGTGTAGTGGGTTGTTGGATACGTCCAAGCTTTTCAAGGAAGTACTAATTGATTCTATCACTTCTCTACATGAATCCGATTTGCCTCCGGCACATTCAATACAAATCGTTTCATAGCATTTGAGTTGGGAGAGCTGCATGACCCCTTCTCCAGTATGATGAATTCAACGATAATCTGTTGGCAGATAAACTGCACATTGCTTGAGGGCGCGCAATCTTGCTCCGACGCCTTATGCGTTCCATTGAAGATTCTTCCGATCTGAAGCGTCAACCAGAAATAAAAGAGAATTGAGATGATCTTTACTACCCAGTTTTCCGCGGTATCTCCAACTCGTGATTAGTGCTCTTATAAGCTTTGTGTATAAACCATCTGATAACTAATTGATGATTGCTTTGCTTTTCACTAGCATTGGCTCGAATGCCAATCTTATTTGAGACAGCACAACTGTTTCAGGGGAAACAGTCGTAATAACTTCGTATAGCATACATTATACGAGCTTTCTACAAAACATTCCTCTAAAAATGGGACTTGTCACGTAATAGGGGGCAAAGGCATGACAAGGGGTGATGTTTGGGGTCACACCACGGAAGAAACGCTCACCTGCGACCAAGGTTTCCATATAATCCTTACAGACAAGTGACCGTAGTCTACGACAGTGAAGGAAATTGTTCGCTATCTTCACAGCTTTCTGCAAAACATCTCCTCTGAAAATGGAAAATGTCACATAATAGGCCCACTATGCCTGCTGAGAACTGTTCAAAGATTCCACTTGATATACAGAGGATGGGATATTGAGAGCAGAGGGAACACGTAAAGCCAGTAAGCGCTTGAAAACGAAATGAAGATCTAAGAATTCGGAAAATAACATTCATCTAATCTCACAATGTAGTGGATGAGATACGTGGCGCATTCTGGGGTAAGTTTTGAGGCCCTTCTTTGTGTGTAGCGGTTAGCCCGCATAAGCGGGATTATATACACATCACATGCGAGCAACTACTTTTTGAGATGAAATCGAGTGCATGGCGCATTCCGAAATCAAGCTTTCTGAAAATATAACAGCACCATCTTGTAGCGCTTGAAGAGCTGAGTTCAACGGTGTTTTCCGTTTCTGGAATACTTCACTCTGACCCGACTTATAACGAATTCACGAAATTAACGAGGATTCGCGTTATTCGCGTGAATTTTCGATTTCAAACGGCGAGTACTGTACATATCTTTTGTTACGTCATGACATGAATGTCCTTATTTGTTGAAACAACAGAATATGTAGTTGCAACCGTCCTTAATCCATTGCTATCATATCACCGAAGCGAAATTTGGTCCACGTGAAGCGAGTGTGGCACATTTACATTACATGTCTTGATGATTTCACTAATTTAGTGTCAAGAAATTGCATCTCTTAAATACTATTGACACGTTGACAACGAGCGCACTTTTCCTTTGCACGCGGATGCATTCTTTGCGTGCTTCTTTGCATGCTAAGCGTCATTAACTAAAGGGCAAACATCAATTCTGTAATTCTTCGAAATCTCTACTTCATTTAGGACGCATATAGCTGGAGGGTTCTGTGTGTGGGACCGCTTTACGCAGCGCAAAGCTTTTTTCGCTGCGGAAATCCCAGATCCACTCAGGAGTAAACCTGGGGCACCGGCAGCGGAAAAGCTGCGCATTCTGCCCAATTATCCACCCCAGTAGCTCCAAACACCTTCACCCATGAGATTTTGAGATTCAGATTTTCGCTCATAAGCGATACGGAAAACCCTACATGCCACTGGGAGAGTAAATAATAGGAATTCTGTATTCGCACAAGTGGCACTGTGCTTACTTGATCAAGAAGCGAACGCCGACTTCAAAGAGCTAGAAGTGACCATCTTGCTGGAGAGCTCACGATAAAGGAAAGAGTGAAAATCTTCAATAGCATTTCCCTGTTGCTGATGTTAAGAATTCTGCTTGTAATTCAGTTTGCATCGGCTTTTCGCAATCGATAAATATGAAGAAAAGTTTCTGAAATCAGAAATATCATCGGTCATGACTGAGTGTGGTGACCTAAAACACTGAAGCTATTTCGAAGTAAAAAAGCCGCGCGCTTCATTTGAGTTTGCTCACTTACAAGCTGTTGGTGAGACAATATGTCCCGTTGGTGACTATCGCTTAATCGACAGCTTGATTTTCTAAGAATAGTGCAAATATTAAGTTTTCAGACATGGTGCAGCAAGATGTCGGACTTCACTCTGTACGCACAGGCAAATGAAGAGCATTCGCCGGCAGTGTATCGGTATGTTCCTTGGTCATAGCTTCAACATTTATATTCTTTTCCGCGCTACGTGGTGTCACCACTTGATGCCGAGGTAAAGAAAGGGATGCTTCCGAGTCGTGATTGGCTGGCCCCACAATCTTCAACCGCTCCTTATCAAATCAGTTCGGTCCCACATAAGCTTACTACAGTCTGGGCTAGATTCACGGTAACAAGAGTGTGCCGCCAGAAAATTCGAATTTCAAAAAATCAGGCATTTTTGTATATATCCTACGTAATTTTGTGATAGTTTAGTATTCAGTCTTTGATTTCCTCGCATAAAACATATCGATCCCGGAATAGGCAGTTTTTACATTCTCGAAAAACACTCGCCACTTGGCTCTGACTAGCTGTTTTATTGCGTTACATTGCAAGACTCTTCATGAAACTTCCGTTGGACACTTCTACGAAGTACAGTAGCATATATACCAGCACGAATAGGGCTGAGTGTGAGGGGTTCAGCGACTCCACGAACAATTTCTCCAAGATGCAAACGAAGAAGCGCTGGATGACAGCTCGCTCAATCCGCATTTGTTCGCTGAGACTGCCATGGAGCGTACCTTCTTGCAGCGTGTTGCTCGCACACACTTTCGCAATACTTATAAACGTGAAAATGCCTAAGTTCTCACCGATGCGCGCAAATGGAATAGAAAGCAATGATGTTGGTCGTTGTCTCGATTCTGTAAGTTCCATTCACGGATCGTTTCCCCAGTTGTAGACCGTTTCCCCTGAAACATTGTGCTGTCTCAAATAAGATTGGCATTCGAGCCAATGCTAGTGAAAAGCAAAGCAATCATCAATTAGTTATCAGATGGTTTATACACAAAGCTTAAAGAGCACTAATCACGAGTTGGAGATACCGCGGAAAACTGGGTAGTAAAGAATCATCTCAAACCTCTTTATTCTTGGTTGACGCTTCAGATCGGAAGAATCTTCAATGGAACGCATAAGGCGTCGGAGCAAGATTGCGCGCCCTCAAGCAATGTGCAGTTTATCTGCCAACAGATTATCGTTGAATTCATCATACTGGAGAAGGGGTCATGCAGCTCTCCCAACTCAAATGCTATGAAACGATTTGTATTGAATGTGCCGGAGGCAAATCGGATTCATGTCAGAAGAGTGACAGGAACTTCGATTAGTCAATTAGTAGTTCTTGAAAGCTTTGGACCTACCAGACAACACCCACCTACACAGCAGGGTCGATGAATTTCTAGGAAGTTTTCGTTCACATATCAACACAGAAAGCGATCACTTCAAGAGGTGATATTGTTTTTTGTCTGACAATCTTCTACCATTCCCATTAAGATTGTTGTTGATTATTATCAGCCACATCGACTTTATGAAGAATTTATCTTCTTAACGCAAATTTTGTCCATCCTTTATACATTCTGTTTCAGTTCTCTTTTGTTGTCTTGCCCTGTTCTTGTACCCATTTCATTCTCCCACTCCATCATCTCAATCGTTCGCGAATTATTCAGTTCAGTAGCACGAAAAACGTTTGTGGGTGTAGGAAGCACTTATTAAACGTATTAGTAACGTTATTCTTTCGAGGTCAGCAATAATTCAAGGGAATGTGTTGACAAAGACCGATTTTTCCAAATCCTTACTGTAACGTTTTAGCATTAACGGGCATAAATCTTCCTTTGAGTTAACCGAAAACTAGAGCTTTCCACACAAGATACATTGTTGAGTAGCTATAGTTACAAGTCATCTAACTTGTCTAATTTCCTCACCCACTACAAATCTGCTGAAGAAAAGTGAATTGAGCCGGTTAGTCATGCTGATGACCGACAGACTACAGACTGACAAGTGTGACCAAAGTTTATCAAGTGAGGCGCATAGAGGTGGAGCTGAACTGGTGCAAATATAGGAAAATAGAAAATCGGCCTGGCAAATTCGTTTGGCTTGGGAAGACATCGCTAAAGGCACGTTTACCGCATTAACAAATGTGAACACCTCTACGTATGGATATATCCGTATGGTTATATTATGACGATTATAAATTATAGAACAGACGCAAAAAAAGAAACGAAGTAGCGAATGAGCGAATCAAGTGAGCGATGTGAGGATGAGGCGCATGCGCTTCGCGCTGCAGTTACCGTGTTTAAAACATCAAATGGCTGTTCACACTAAAGAAAGGAGGTCGTTCAGAGATACCCGCGCTTTCAAAATATTTGCACGATATAGCGTACGTACACGGAACGTTCGACTTTCGTTCCTGATGTTTCGGCGACTGATCGCTTAATGAAAAACCAAGGTGCATTTCTGAAGTATGAAAAAGGTGAGGTGTGGCGGCCGTGCCCACTCTTCGAGAACGTACAGACTTGGATATCGTATCGACTTGTCGGTGTGTTGGTCACGATGTTTATGCGTCTATCTGCCCGTTCTGAAGTGCTCCGTTGATGTGGAGGATAGGGAAGTTGATAGCAAACTCGAGGACCGAAACAGACAAAACATGATTGTTGCAAATTCTGAGAGGATATTCTAATTGTGACCATATCCTGCTCTATAGGGCTTCTAATATTTCAAATTAACACGAAGTAATAGGGTTGTAATTGAAGACAAGCAGTTGTTACGACAGTCATACACTCAGGAAAACAGGGAGGTGATGGTAGTGTCGCAAAACGAGATTTATTGTAGTAATAAATTTCAGGGTGGTCACGACTATGTCAAATTTTCCACCATTTGCTGAAGCATTCTTCTGTTCACAAAAGTCGAAAATGATTAATGAAATGCAGTGCTCATTATGGTAATAAGAATATTGATGCACCCGCATAAGTTATATATAAAAATGTTATTCTTCCGCGACTGCTGTTACACGAGCTCCTTTTATCGTGTAACTTGCTTTGCACAATAAATCGTTTTTTAAAATTTAATGTGTGTGCTCTCGTGATCCTCAAAATTTCTCACGAAAAAATGGAGAACTTGAGAAAATAGCTACGGAAGCCTCCATTTCTCGCTCAAGAACCTAACCTGCATAAATTTTCTTCTCTGGTTACGGTAGGGTGCAATTGCCGAAGGAATCTTGTGTTCACAACACGTGCACTTCCGGCTGTCTAAATTGCAGAATAAACACGAGCACAAGTAGTCAGTATCTAGACTCTCATGTGTAAGGGAGATTTTGACTCGCGCCTGGTTTGCATAATACTTGAAATTACTTGCGAATTCCCTGACTCGCTCTTGTTCTCCACTGCATTTGTCCTGAAAATGGAACTTGCATTTGTCCTAAAAATGCAATTTCTTGAATGAGTCGGTATACGGGGAATACTGATGAAATTTGTGCAGTAAGGCTATATTCATATCCGACGTGTTTCAGAAACTAAACTAAGTCGTCTGCTGAGTCTGACAGCCAAGTGACAACATTTTTTTCAGCCAGGCTTTCGAAAGCTCCCTACTACATATATATATATATATATATATATATATATATATATATATATATATATATATATATATATATATATATATATATATATATATATATATATATATATATATATATATATATATATATATATATATATATATATATATATATATATATATATATATATATATATATATATATATATATATATATATATATATATATATATATATATATATATATATATATATATATATATATATATATATATATATATATATATATATATATATATATATATATATATATATATATATATATATATATATATTATATATATATAATATATAATATACTAAGTATATGTCTGTGTGTGTGTATGTGTGTGTGTCTGTCTGTCACGAAATTCATAGCTCGGGCACCAGTGGTCGTCAGGAGTTGATTTCAAGATATGATATAGGGGGTGGGACGGGAACATATTTGGTGGGGTACAGAAAGTGATAACAACTGATAAGGGCTGATAAGGACTCTTAGAAGGAAAGGGTAACGGATCTTTCGAAGGGTCATGTTTGATTTAATGGGTGACAAAAAGTGGAATCAACTGATGAGGGCTGATAAGAAAGCTTGAGTTCGGAGGAAACACTGAAGTATCCAGATCCGCGATAAGAAATGCATTCCATTTTTCCTGCAATTCTTTGTCACCATCGACCGCTAATCTCCCTAAGTCTTTTTTTAGGATGGTCGGTGTTTGTGGATAATGAGTTTGTATTTTAATGCCACATTCATATGAAGTTGCAAGCGCTAAACTTTCTCAACATCCAAAGCATGGTAATTGTTCATGCTCTCTTGATAGCGCGAGTATCTAAATATCGTACCTGTATCACCTGTATCACCTGTCGTCCCGTTGATCATCGAATTGCTCGAGCGGGCGCCAGCAACGTCTCCATTCGTCCCTGTCGCGTGCAAGAGTTGTCCAGTGGACCCTCCTCGCTCGAGGGACACGAAGTCCTTCATTCCTTTCGTTCAGAGCTTTCGTGAAGAAGTCTGACCATCGGGCCGGCGGTCGTCCAGGTGTTCGTTTGACGTCCCGAGGGATCCAGTCGGTAACCGCTCTGGTCCAACGGTCATCGCAAAATCGCATGACGTGTCCGGCCCACCTTATCTTCGATTCCTTGGCGAAAACGGCAGCGTCCCTGATCTTCGATCGTTGGCGTAGTTCGGAACTCCGGATTCCCCTCTGCACTTGCGTGTATAGGGTTACTCCTAGCATCGTCCTCTCGACAGCGCGTTGGATAACGCTGACCGCATGCTCGTCCTGCCTGCGCAGAGTCCAAGTCTCTGAGGCGTAGGTTAGGGCAGGAAGGACTGCGGAATCGAAGAGGTGGGCACGGAGCCGGATGTTCTTCGTCTTCTTCACTACTCCCTCGATGTTCTTGTACGCTCCCCAAGCCGCTCGTTTCCTCCTGCTCAGCTCTGGAGCTAGATCGTTCATCATATTGATTTCCCGACCTAGGTACACGTAGCTGGAGCATTCGGTGATGTTCGTTCCGTTGAGCGTGAATGGGGCATCAGGAACCAATCCGTTTCTCATAAACATCGTCTTCGTTAGGTTCAGCTGTAGACCAACCTTACCACAGGCGCAGTCGAAATCAGCCAGCATTCGCTCCGCTTGCCCAGTTGACGCATGACGTTCTCGAGAGCGGCGCTGAAGAGTTTGGGCGGGATGGTGTCGCCCTGTCGGACCCCTCTCTTGACGTCGATGATGACCTTGCGTCTCCACGGATCTCTTTCACTGAGGGTCCTCTCTCACTGAAAGATCTCGAGCCGGTTGGTGGCGAGGCTACGTGGCGCGACCCCAGGTGGCGGATAGGGGGTAAATCGCGGACCAAAAGCCACCATGTACTTGCCCTGAGACGCAGGTGGATTCAGGGGATGGACTCCCTGTTTCTGTAGTGCTGTGTTGATTCATACCAGCTGTCTCCACTCAGGCGTATCCATGCATGCTTGCGTGTGTGGTGCGCTCTGTGTGTGCGGTTGGTATCCTGCATTTACGAATGGTTCAGTGCCACGCGGTTGTTACAGTAAGTTTCACGGATCGAGACCACCGATTCCAATTCGTCACACTCGTAATCTCCACGATTTATTGGTGCAAGGCGCACAATCTCAAACTTGGGTAATTAAACGATAATATACCTTTAAAGTAATAAAATCGACCAACGAACGAAAAGAAACAATCTCCGACAAATAATGACCAAAAATTCCTAGAGAAAAAGGCACTAAATGAGAAGAATAAGAGAACGAGGATTCTGGGGAGACTCAGGACCGAATCACACCTTCCAAATTCAAGATAAATCTCAGGCGCATGGCGCACACTAAAGAAGGGGGAAAGCGGGCGCACGTCGGTCGCAGTTTCCACCGCTTGAAGGCGAACTGAGGCATTCACAAGGCGGAGTCGCGGGGTTGCATGGAATTCCTTCTTGCTCTACCGTATCTATATACACTGTTTATTCTCTAAAAGATATACCAGTTTTGCTCCGCCCGCTATCGCGCGCATCACACGGCAGGCTTTAGCGAAACTGGAGGACCCATGGAATATCAGCATGAGGTACTCCATTAACCACCTCACTATTGAATGTGTTAGACCTTTCCTTTCGCTGAAGTCCATCGAGAATACGCGTGATAACGTCTGGAGCTGAACTGGCATATTATCTCACAACTGTAAACATCCAGCATTCTTCTTGAATTCAGATAATTTAGCGGTGAATAGGATTGCTGTCAGTCTCAAAATTAAAATGAACTATGCCTATTTACATAAGTGAAGAGCTAAGCTTCATTCACAGTCACCATTATTTAAAACCCCGAAAAGATGATTAGCGGTTCAATAAGTTTGCTTTTTTGATATTGCATTAGGAAATGAAAGTTATCATTTGCTGAAGACTTGATTGAGTTTATGCAATCGACTGCTATTAAGTAAGCTGGTCATACAATGATACAATGTGCACGTACCACTACAAATAGAATTTGTAAGTAGGGACGCTCTAGTGTCAGCGCAAGCTGGTAACGGAATCGACGACTTTTGCGTTCTGACGCCCCTTATCAGCCCTTATCAGTTGTAACCACTTTCAATCACCCATCAACAATGTCCCCGTCCCACCCCACATAACACTTGTAAGTAGGGACGCTCTAGTGTCAGCGCAAGCTGGTAAACGGAATCGACGACTTTTGCGTTCTGACGCCCCTTATCAGCCCTTATCAGTTGCTATCGCTTTCATTCATGTACCACCATTGTCCCGGGACCACCCCACATAACACTTGTAAGTATAGACGCTCTAGTACCAATATGAACGACAAAACGAAATTGGCGATGCTCGCTTTCTAGCCCCTCTTATCAGCTATTATCAGTCGTTATCAGTTCCTATCATACCACTTGAGTCCCCATCCCACCCCCTATAACATATGTAAGAACCATGGCGCTATCATTGCTGTGACCCGAGCTACAGACAGACACACAGACATACTTAGCGAACTATATATAGTAGGATAAGATGTTAGTGAGAAGCTGAGCTTTAGCTGCATTTCTCATGCATTAGCGTATTCCCTTCTTTTCCTATCTCATGATTAACGAGGAATGGAAACTGTAGAATGCGTGGGAATCGCGATACTCCCGGCCCGAAAAGTGCAGAGAAGTGGCGCAAGAAAATCTGGGGGAAGCAGGTATATATCATTCGTTCTGAGCACTCTGAAGTTAGCTTCGCGAATTTCAATGGCGAATTCCGAAAAGGGCCAATTTCCGTCGAAAGGTCCTCCAATTTGGCGATACTTCTTCTCCGGCCTTCGTAAGCTCTGTTCAGACGCGCACGAATTTGATCACAGTACTCTGGGTAGTCGCACAGTGTACTGTGATGACCGCGATTACGGCAATAGAAGCAGAGTGTGAAGTATTTCTTGCAAAGGGACCCCCTCGAACAAATTAGCGTCGAGACACCGTTTGCACCTATTTGTCTATTCGTCTCGATTAAGTGGCTTCTAATTCCAATGTCGCGCACAACAGTGCAGGAATCTAAATAGTGGGATCCAGTGGCTGAGCGAAGGCGCATCTCGTTATGACGCGCACAAGCTTATTATATGACCAGATTAGTCCCCCGTCAACCGCCGGGACCTTCCTTTCCTGCGCAAGCTTTCTATCCTCCGCTATGGTCCCTTCCTCCTGTGACACCAACACCTCGTGGAAGTGACGCGTATGCAACACAATGGTGTTTCATACAGTAGAAGGGACACAATCATGATATGACGGTAGATTTTTCGCTTCCCTTCCTCATCCTCCCTTCCTCTCTCCACTGCCCTCCAGCTGCCACTGCAGCACCATGTGGAATGAACGGAAGTGTG